TTAGTCACAACGTCTCGAGTCGAGTACGACTCCAGTAGCGTCAACTAGTGGAATAACCATGGCAAATTACCGAGTGCATGTACAGCGCGTCCCAAAATACCAGCATTTTTTTTTAGGCTGTCTAGCGTCGGCACGGACCCACATACCGCCATAATTTTTACACCATTTTAAAGATTTAAATCTGAACTTTATCCTTGACGAGTAGTGGTTTTATATTAAAAAAAATTAAACAATTTGTCGTGGCAAAGAAAAGGCACGTCGAAGCGAACTCAATCGATTTCAAGGGAAATCGATAATGCGGTACACCAGATGCAAACTCGAGTCAACAAGCCGTTGAAAAAAAAAAGATTGATATCAAAACACATTGAACTTCAAACGACGAACACTATTTTGAATTTATTTAAGGTGTAGTCTACGTGGATCGAAAAGAAAAGGAAACACATTTAACGTAAAAAGCAACGAGATCGTCACATCATGAACATGATAAAGCATATCCACATTAGAAAAACAAGCGCATGACTGATTTTCCTTGAAATCGGTTGAGTTTGTTTTTGATGCACCTTTATTTGAACTTGAATATTTTTCAAAAACCTTTTGAAAATACTTACCAGGGATACACTTAAGACTCAAATCTTCAAGATGATGTATAAATAATGGCGGTACGTGTTTCCACGTATTTTTTGGACGCGCTGTATTTTTTTTGGTCAGCATTTTGAGTAAAAAGAACAAAAAAGGCGTAGGCGATTTTTTTTTCGGCAGACCGTGGTAAGAATCATTTGACGCTTGATGGCGCTTTACATGAAGGAAGCATTGCATATTTGGAACAAAATATCACACAAAATATACCATAACACTAAATGCAACTAACGTAGTACCACTGAACAATATTTGTTTTCTTTTATAGAACAACAACCGAAGAATAGCCAAGTCAACAAGTTTAAAGTTAGAAAGTAGAAGTTCAAGCGATAAAATCTGTGATAATCTGTTTAAAAAGTACCAATATGCTCATTACCAGTAGATCACAAAACGTACAAGTCGGATAAATGCAATTTAGCCTCACAATTATATCATTAAAGAACGTGTCTGGTGCATACGAATTTGTATCGCTTATGTCTGATGAACAACAGTGCAGCCAAAAGTCACTAGATTAGCTATAGTTACAATCGATCAGGACCTGTTTTATTATTGTAAACAGCTCGAATGAAAAACACTGACAGCCCTTGAATCACATGTTCAACCAAATTGGGGGGTCAACCATGCAACTAAAAGGTGTCCATACAGTATGTTCCCAATATCTATGTTCCCAAATATCTAGGTTCCCCAACCTTAACTCCAACCCTGATCCTAACCATCTCCCTAACCCTATCATGATTTTTGGGAACCTAGGTATTGGGAAAAAAATTGGGTAGACAAAACTAAAATTAAATGCCTATTAAAAATTGTGTAACAATTCGCAAAGATTTTGATGACAAGTTTGTAAATGGAGGCAAAATGTGTGCAGTAATGTTAGTCACGTGGTATATGTATAACAAATCGCTAAAAGCCTAAATCTAGGTAACATCTGATGTATGGTGTTGCGTATGACAGGGAGGCTTGCAAGCTACACGCCAAAGCGACTATAGAGGTCGCTGTTCATATGGGTCTGTGTAAAACGCCGCAAATTTCATGCAAGACTTTCCTGCAAAACGGCCAGAGGAGATTGTGCACTGACGCACTTGTCAAACAAGCACTGCACACATGTTATCCAAAGGATTGCGAGGAAATAAAATCACATTCTAGTCCGGTGGATTCGAACCCACGACCTCCTTCTTCCTAGTGTATTATGGCTTACCACTCGCCCACCGAGCTTGCCGGGGTGGGCTGAAATGTGTTATAACACCTCATCCGCAGATTATGTGTCTTGTTTGGCAGAGAGCGAGTCACATGTTACTTTCTATTTTTGATATCTTTCGGAGCACGGCCTAAAGTACTATACCCGTAGCAACCAAAGTACTATACCATTCGCAACCAAAGTACTTTCCGTTTCGTCAGTGTAAGTCAATTCAGTCTAAACCACGCCCACTGGCCATTAAGTAGAATTTGAACCAAGCTAACGCAATTTGAGTGTCTATCCAATGGGCGTTAGCGATCAGTGGTGCTTCCGTGTTTATGACGTTTTTACTAACGAACAGGATACCCATGGCGCGGTATTTGCGTGCAAATACATGCTGGTGTGCGCGTAGCGCGTATTGTTCCCAAGAGACTGGACCACTGAAATGGGTTCAAACATTTCGTAAAGGGGTGGTTTGGAAGAGAGAAATACATTTCTCACCAATTTTATATTGAAATATTTGTTTATTTTAATTATGGTCCGATTAAAATAATTTAAACAAAACTAAGCAGAATCTGTGTGGGTGAAGTGTTATAAAACAAAATTGAATGCTTTATCTCGTGGTGAAGTCAAACTAGCCTCCCTCGGTGATCCAGAGCATTCTATTTTCCCTCGTCTTTGGCTCGGGAAATAAAATGTCCATGGATCACCTCGGAGGGCTAGTTTTACTACATCACTCAAACCATCCAATATTTGTACACTAGTCTGATATAACAGCGGGTGCTGCAACGTCCCCCCCCCCAAAAAAAAAGCCTTTGCCGTTGTCCTAAGAATTGAGCAAAAACAAGAGCCGTCAGATTGTTTTAAGTCCGATTGTTGCGAACAGGTGCACATATAGTTAATGCAGCACATTGTTACCGATGCCAAAACAAATGTTGGTGTCAGACGGTGGGGGGGGGGGGGGCCTTCGGCCACTTCAAATTCCAAATTACCTTGGGGCAAAAGGAGACACCTATATCGTGGGTTATTGTTTATGGGTTATTATTCGAGCTAGCTGGGCTCATTGCAGTGCTCGCAGCATTATGTATTAGCTATTCAGGGGCGAATCCATGATTTTTTGCATGGGATGGGGTTTCATCAGCAAATCAATGATGCAATGTAGACATTTTTCCCCTTGGACATAGTTGGGGTGGGGTGGGAATGGGGGTGGGTGGGATGTGGGAAGGGGCTCTTATCATACTTTATTACAGGATAATCTAAAAAATGCCCCCGTAACACAACAGGCTCTGTCCATACTTTGTGCACAGGCGTATATTGATACCAGTAAGATTGTTAATGGGTGTCAGAGCAGTGGTGAGGGGGGGGGGGGTCTTTATTTTTTTATGAATTCCTGTGGAAAAATACAACAACTTATTTTTCACAGAGCTAGGGGGTGATGACCCCAATTCTGGGGTTTAACAACGCAGTGTGCCACCAAGAGTTTTCCAATGCAGAGGTTATTTTTCCCAGTGCATTTTGAGAGATGATCGACAAATTCGTAGCACGGGACATTTGAAATTGTTAATTTTTTTTCCGGCCGGTAGTTTCGTCAGCGTATGATTCGAGTATATATTTGCCCTTTTTTTTTCATGTTATCAAAATGGTACTTTTTGTAAAACGGCAGAACGCTACTCCCAAATTTGTATCAAATTAGCTCAAGATGTCTACTGACTTTCGTTCAAATAGGTCTTGTTTTGTCGACTGTAAACCTGATAAATGGACTCACGTCAATCTGACCAAATTAATTGCCCAGAAAATTGACTCCTCCCCCTCCCCACTCTATTGCGCCCTGTATCCGACTACCCTAAAAAAAAAAGATGGATTTTGATTGCCAAAATAATGACATGGGTAGTTCAAATCCAACTAACTTAATTCGGGACCACAGACTTAATAGCCACAGAAAAAAATATCCATACAAAGATAAAAGGATCCACTTGACCCGTTTCTCCTGTTTTGTCAATTGTTAAAACGAAAGAGAAAATAATAATTACAGTGGCTAAAGGCAATACAGGTTCAAGAGCCAAACAATAATTACATGCCGGTAGAAATGGTTCAACTTGATATGGGTAGTTCCAATCCAACTAAACTAATTCGGAAAAATAGCCACAGAAAAAAAATCCATTAAAAGATGAAACTTGATCCGTTTCTCCTGTTTTGTCAATTGTTAAAACGAAAGAGAAAATAATAATATCAGTGGCCAAAGACAATACAGTTTCAAGAGCCAAAAAATAATTGCATGCCGGTAAATATGGTTCAACTTGAGCATTTTCCTTTCTCCGGAAATTAAAATCTTCTGGTTCCTTCATTGGGGACAATTTACGAGTGAAGTGATGCCATTGCGATGTTGATGCTTCTGGTTCTGTATCGTCTTCCAGAAGATTGAGGTTGCCAGTAAAGCGCTGATAACACTGACGGTGATACCTAACACTTTTCGGATCACCGGGGAGAGTTGTAGGAGACAGGTGGCACAATGATAGCATACGACATGGGTACTCATCTGATTGGTGGAGACGTCGATCTTATATAGCCGCTGTAGTTTTTCACTTACAATTGCTTTGATTTTACCGAGGGTGGTAAAAATGGATTTTTTTGTTTTTGTGGCAATGATGGCTTAATCTCAACTTCTATCACTACCGCTGATGTGGAATGGGGAAACAAACATGGGACAGAGAAGTTACACTTGCGAAAGCATTGCCTTCAAAATATTTTTTTGGCGTTAGTTCAGGAATGATCTTCTAATGATCCTTACCCAGAACAAAATGCCACTGCCTCCTCCCACTTAATGACGCCCCGTATCCGAAGAATGAATGGAAGTACAAGTACCTGCAGGATAGCTTCGTTTGAACACCAAAGGGAGTCACTTGAAATTATCACACGCAAACCCAGCATATATTTTGATTGACACAATAAATAGATCGGTAGCTCAAATCCAATTAAACTATAATTTTGACAATGATCAAAAGAAAGAGTAAATAATATTTACAGTGGCCAAAGAAGATACGGTTTGAAGTGCCAAAAACAATTATATCCCTGTAAACATGGTTCAACTTGAGCATTATTTGTTTTCGGAAATGAAAATCTCCGGGTACTTTCGATTGGGTTGTCTTTAAAAAAAAATGGAGTAAAACATACTTATAAGGGGACAATTTTCTGAGTTTGTTCGAAACCTACCAAAGTCTTGACATCAGGTTCTGCTGCTCACTGCTCTTCCGCTGCTCCATCAGTTCTTACCGTTTTGCAAGCAAATTCAATCATCGTCATCATGAACCGATTCATCGTTGTGCTGCTGCTCTCCGTCTGTGTAGTTGCCATTGCAGGTAAGTTACTTTTTTTTTCTAAACGCATTTCAGATTTGTTTTGCCATACTGTCGGAATGTGTCTTGTCAATTAGCTTTTATGTTCGCCTAAAATGTGATTTGTGGACGAGTCTTGCTTTACCTGCCGACCTGTGATCGTTTATGTTGTATTATATTGTATTGTATTGTATTAGAGTACAGTAAAAGCCATCAATTTAAACCTAAAATACCAAATTCTCGTAATCTTCACTGACTGATTCTACAAATTATAGGGAACAAAACTCGGGGAAACAAGTTACACCAGGGAAATCAAGGGGATACTGAGAAAACTTTGTGCGTTTGAAAAATAAAATATCAAGTCCGGTTCACATTCTATAGGAAAGCGAAACTCGAATTTGAAATTTCACACTTAGTGTTAGCGCTGCGATGTCGCACATTTCGAAGACTGTGTTTCGTCAAACCGTTTCGCGTTCGAATTCACGCAGAGTAAGGGCCAGAAAGACAACCAATATACCGAAATAAATCAGTAAATCAATCTTGTTAAACTTCCATGTGATTTGTCAATCTTAAAGTTGGTGTATACTAGCTTTTTGGGTGCGGGAGCTTGAAAAATAGATTTTGAAATTGAATTGATAATTTTTTAGCATTACGCTTTTGATATGAGCAAATGAGATATCGCGCCGGGAAAAATGGCCCATGATAAGTAATCAATTAATATATTTTAACTTTTGAATGAAGAGCGGGACGCTCCTAAATCGTTCTGCATAAATTAAATGTGCGCAACTTCTGAAATGGAGGTCGCCATATAAAACTAATATTTAAAACTGTATGACGGCCTGCAAAAACATACACGCAAGTGTATTTGTTACAGGATATTGACCTTTAATGTCGTTCGGAAAAATCGACATTTTGAAGAAAAAAACACGTGTACATGTATACCTACTTAAAGATTGTTAATTTTTCACGCAACTGCATATTATTGTTTAACGCATCTGGACACGAAAATTAACAGCTGAAGATTGCAAGTCAAGAGACAAGACGCAGGTTCACAAACAAATGTGGAAGCCAATGTTCAAATATGTCATTTTTTGTGCCGTTTGCATTCGTGTACCGTGTTTGGCTGTGCCTCTCTGTAAAGAATTTGTTTTTGCTGTTATGATGGATCACTGTGACGTTTTCTTTTGAAAGCTGTTGAGACAAATGGTTCAAATTGGCAAAAACAATAAAACCATGGTGTAGTCATTCTGTTTACGCGGAAAATGATGGTTATATAATAAATCTGATCAACCTGGTAACGTGTCTGATCAGCTTGGAAAATGTAAGTGTGTCAAAATAAAAATGAGGTAATGTTTTCTCCTAAAAAGACGATATCAAAAAGCTTAACTAAATGAATTTGTCGTGAAAATTCTGGCGTTGTTAAAGTTATTCGCTGTATTGTTCCGTGTTTTGAAACTGTATGAACGTTGCAATTCTGTGAGAGTTTTCAAAATATTTTGGCCAATTTCCTAAAACGTTCATTCACTTCTGAAAATCGGTCATTCATTTTCGAACTGAATTTGAGAATCGCTCTGGACACGCATTAAACTTTCGCTACCAGAGCATTCGATTCCATTTCAGTTCAATCAATTAAGTGATTGAGCAGCACCTTTCATTTACGTCCATTCAGATTCGTTTACAAGACTTCTTTTTCGTTTTTAGAGGGAGATTTCAAACATTAACCATTCTATTTCACTTTTAGTTTAATGCAATCTGCACCAGATACAATAAGGGGTTTCTTTTTCATTAACCGTCAGTCAAAATTATTAGCTGCATCTGAAATCAATTTAGAAAAAGTTTGTTTGCGTAAATGAATGCACTGGTAACACAATGGCCGTCTGTTTCTTAAAACCGAATGCGCGTACAATGAAAACGATTGAACTGTCGTTGAATTGAAATGGAATCAAGACGTGCATTCAAATTCAGACGAAAATGAATAATCGATTTGTAGAAGTGAATGAACATTTCATGAACAATTGGCCGGGAAAAACCTACAGTTCGTCATTTCTTGGACCAAACTTTAAATCCTTTTAGCGGAAACTGGACTTAATGGTTGTTACCTGTTACCCATAATGGTCCTTTCCCGTTTGCACGCGTTAACAACTGTGTTTAACATTCATTCAACTATTTTTTATTCATTCAATGTAATTGTTTGTTCTTTTTTCTCCCAATGTTTGTCAGACAAAACTGATGATTGGCACGTTGCGGACCTGGGACAAAAGTAAGTCACATTTCGTATTGCAAATTTGTATCTTCTTTTTGTAATCTTGTTTTCCAAATAAGTAATGAATATGTGCTTGGAAGGTTTAAATCAATTACGTTTTAATCCAGTTTTGGACCTGCACGCTGATAATGGCCGGAGCCGAAGGTATTTTGTCGAAACGTCAAAACAACGACTTTGTTCCACAATTTATCCATTTTTAGCACCCCTCTAACTATGTCATGATATGTGCCTGTATAGGGAGTAGTGTGGCGCGTCCTGCGCAGTATATGTAGCGCAGAACGCCACAAAACAAACTGACAATCGGTTGCGCATGCGTGACCAGCACGCGTGTGCACTTTACAGAACCATTATGTTGAGGTCTAAAAGGTAGCGTCCATCATGTCTAATGTGTGCATTTTTTCCGTTCGAAGCAACAACAGTGTTCAAAATCTAAAGAAGGGTGCTGAGCAACTAACCTGTCAAAGTTGCAGCTCGGTGAATGCTGTATATTCTGAGAAAACGATATTCTAGGATCTCGATTTCAAATCAAACGTTGCGAGCCATGTTTTGAATTGGGCCTGAATTCAGCGTCCGAGACACGTTCCCACTGAGCCGATTGCAGCTACGCCGTGTCGCTCACTGGACCGACGAATTATAGCAACCGCCCGCGCGTGTGCATTATGTCAATGCTTGCGCGCGCTGGCCGAATACAAAAGAAAAGAGTATTAAGCCCCTCCCCCTAAGAAAAGTCTCCGGTTTCTGGAATGCGCGTCCATAGCCGTAGCCATGCGCGTCTGCACAATTTTAACGTGTTTTTAGATGGGGTTACTATCGAGAATAAGCTTCATGTGGCCCCTCTGGACTCCCATATATTTTGCACTAAATTTAGTCGGGCACCATTGGCAGTCATCAGCCGATATTTGAAGAAAAAAAAAAGCCGCGTCGCCGCACCACTTTTGGGGCAAGCTCCATACCAGAAACCGGAGCCTTTTTTTTGGCTTAAATTTCCAACCATTTTTCTTTAGACGCATCGTTTATTGATGCCTCCTTTCATTGATTTTTTTTCAAAATGACAGTTTCCCCAAAAAAGTAATTTTACAAGGAGTTCAGTCCCTATAACTATCGTTAAACCACCTTTTTTTTTAGTGTGAAAGCCAAAACGTATACGTATGGAGTAAATTTGTGTCAGACCTTTCAAAGCGTTTTTCTCCAAATGGTATTTCCGCTACAAGACATGATTGCCTTCCAGTTCGTGAACATCAAAATCAATTTATAGCACGTCAGTGTTCGAATTGCATGCGCGCTCAAATCGGCGTGTCTGTTCGTGAAAACCAAAATTATCGATTTGGAGGTTTTCACAAACTGACACAACACAGTGCATGCGTACGTGTCAGTTCGTTAAAACGGTGACATAATTTATGACTATTATTATTATTGCGCATGCCTAAGAGAAGAACGTGACCATTCAACCAATAACAGTGTCAAAAATGACTAGATTTGACGAAATGACGGTATCACCTTTCATGCCATTATATTGCATTGGTTAACTTAACAATGTGTACTTTTGAACACATCCAGGCGCAGTCCCCATTACTGTGGCAGACATCTTGGGACGAAGATTGGTCAAATTTGCGGATGGCACTTAGAAGCTTGGGATGACGTCCACCCAGGTATTCTAATCATAATCCTCTTGTCAATAAGTTAAAATAAATATAAGCTACAGGTTCGTGTTTGTTGAGTAACAAACGCAGAGTAGTTGGGCTCGAATCTAACTTTGGCACAATAATCAACTGAAAATTCATTTAAACATTGTTAACCTGCTGCTACAGAGCGTTCTAACATTTTATGATATCACCGGTACTTTTGTTTTCTAAAGTACAACCTAGCCAGAGACTAACTTCGTTGAAAGCAAGTTCATATCTTTATCCACTTTCAAATTATAAGGCACTTCTGGTTTGGACCGGAAGAAAGGGTCACCTGATTTTACACGTAATATCGAAAACGCTCAATTATTCTATCAACCCCAGTAAAAACCAAAATCAGATCTCAATAGATTTAAAATCGATTTTCAAAGATTAAATCTAGATAAATGCTGTTGCTTTTCATATGATACGTGATGAAGTCATCGTGACGTCAGTACCAGAAAGCTCGAGAGCTATGTTAACTGTACCATTTGAAGCAACAAATCTGGATTTCTCTCTTGCGGTTGATTTTTCATCATTTTTTTTAAGGTTTAAAGATCTTTATGATTGTAACTTGCGGTCTGATGACGTCATTCCTTTTCGTACACAGGTCTTGTTTATATAATGGTCATCATATTATAGTGATTTTGAAGCAAAGTTTGCCGCAAAGTTTGCCGCAAAATCAACTGAAAAAAAATATTGTAAAGCAAGTTTCTTTTACACTTTCAAATTATAGGGTACTTCCGGTTTGGACCGGAAGGAAGGGTCACGTGATTTGGCCTACACGAATCAAAATGAAGATCCCAAATTTTTGTATCAAACCCCGCAACAGACAATTAGGTCAGGTCTTTTACGGTTGATTTTACATTAATTTTCCAGGATTAAATCTAGAAATATTTAATCGATTGTAATTTAACACCCAATGACGTCATCATGACGTCAGAATAGTATGTACCACTGGAGATGAGGGTCGATTTATGTTGAAAGTTCATACCATATACCGTTGAGGAGAAACCCGCGGAGCGGAGAATTATCGTCCAGAAAAACAAAACAAAAAGAAAACAAAACAAAGCAAAGAAATATAGAAAGAAAGAAAGAAGATTTATCAGAACAGTGCTAAACAGTGGTGGGGTTGTGCCCGACCACTCAATCAGGAACTCCAGGAAATAAGGTTTGATCCCTTTCAGTTTAAGTCAAGTCTTTATTCTACCCCTCTTAGGTAATTTAAGCGATGAAACCAAATCTAAGACTTCACCTAGTCGAAATAGTCTGCAGAAGTTCTTGAACTGCCACAATTATGCAAAGGTGGCCACATGAAACTTTGTACCGATCAAAAACAAGTTGTTTCTCCAACTCCTTTCGCAAAATTGTTTTCACTTCAGGCCTTAGCATTTAGTTGTACCTGTGATACGGCATTCACACCTCCACGTGCGATACCAATTATGCTTAGTATTTGCTTCCCCAAATTATGTGTAGAATATTAGCTGTGATTGTGACTATTAGCTGTGAACCACTTGAAAATCAGTAGTATTTTACATGTTCTCGCTCACAAATTTAAAAAGACAATTATTTGTGTCATCTTTTCTTTGGCTTACACAGCGTTTGTGGAATCTGATGAGGCCAATAGTTTCTTGGCCGATCGCCGCATCTCAAAGCGAAGCCTTGGCGAAGAATGCTGCCACGAGGGATGCTCCAATGAGGAAGTACGCGAACACTGCTAAAGAAATCACCAGGGCGGATCCGGACCGGACTGACTTCGCGCTACCCGAATGTTATAAGTTTTGTTTGATTTCGCTCGTATATTAAAATTCAAGTGGTGGATGGTTCTTTGGTTATTACACGTACACAAACATGTACTGATGTTTTCTTGAGGATTGGCGCATTCGACTTTTTTGTTTAGATTTCGCTCCATCAAAATACTATTCAAGTGGTGGTGGTTTTTTTTGTGTTACTTAAATTATTATACATGCATCACGAACAATGTAAGAAACAACCAATCTATTCCTGAAGCATTACAAAACCATAATAACTCAAGAAAATGCAGGTCTTAGGCGAAACGCTCTTTCGTCGGTTAACAGTGATTTAATTTATAATTGAAGTTGTATTTCAATTTTCAAATCACCCATTTCTTGACCCCATATATCAAACACAAGCCCTCTAGAATAAATTGTGCTTTTTGAACATGTTTTGGCGTTTAAAAAAAAAAGAAGATACAGTTCTTTAAAAACGAACCCTGCGGCGATACAAAAAAAAGTTGCACAATTTTGGAGAAAACAAATCGTTAATTTTCGATATGTGATAAGTAATCTGTCATTTTAAAGAGCGTAAAGGATGTTTTGTTTGTGTTTTAAAGAACGAACGGGCAAACATGTATACGGTTTCGGTGACCAAGTTTGAAGGGAATTCGAAGGGGTTGTATAAGGTATTATGTACCTCGAAAATACTTTGATCGAGCAAACAGTCTCACCAAATTAAAATACCCAACAAGTCAACAAGTTTCCTTGCCCTGGAATATATTTTGAATTCCAAAAAAAAAGGCTGAATTATTGTCTTTACTATTCGAATAGATAAGTTCGAAGTTGACAAAGTTTGAGGGTTTGCACTGCACAGTGGGTGTGTACAGATACTGTGGAAGTTTCCATAACAGATGTGATTGTCATTGAACTTTGGTTGCACCTATTTAAGGTACTCGGTGCGATTGATATCAGACATTATTAAGACTCTTTGTTTTCACCATCAGACTTATTCATTTCGATTTTTTTTCGGGATCTATGGGCTTTAATTTCCTTATTAATACAGTCTTAATTTCAGTCTTAGACTATTAAAAGTTACTTCCAAAGCAGTCAGACTGTGTTATTGACTCGTACATGTTTGTAGTTTGTCGGTGGTAAACTTTCCCACATCATGTGAGTAATTCGTCTTTCTTGAATTGTGTTTATTCGGGTCCTATACTCAACAATGAAATACATTTTATATTTTCCCGAATTCATAGCTCTGAAGGAGTTTAGTTTCCTTATAATATGGGGAAGTTCAGTCCGAGAACCATAATCTAAATACCAACTGCGCATGCGCGTTATAGTCTTTGGTAAAACTTAGTTTTGGAAAAATTCCTGCTAACTGGGGTAATCTAAGGGGGCTAAACTTTATAAAAATTTCGTCCCGTGCATGACCACTAAAGCAAACATCTTCCAAAACTCAACTAATCTGTCGACGCTATTCGTAGTTTTTAGAGTGCGCCCTCTGTTGAATAATTTTAAGTCATCTGTGTGGTGGCGCTGTACCAATTGTACGCAGCAGCTGCCTCGGACTCTATTTTTTAGAGGGAATACATCATTATGGGTCAAAATAGAATATATAACCGACGTTAGAAAAATCGAAGAACGGGAGATGGGAGGGGGGAGGACTGCAGTTTTCCATCTCGAAAGGGGCACTATTGTATTATTGTGAGAGGGCCGCTTGTGTTTTACGGTCAGTTTTCCATTACAAGAGAGGAGACAATTTTATGTGTAGCGCGATCATATGCTTTCATTGTGTGCGTTTGAGGAGAAATTTTGTTTTCATCTCGAGGGGGCACATTTATAACCGCAAGAGGGACATTTTTGTTGGCCTGGGAAAATATGGTGGGTCATGTGCCCCCCTCCCCCCCCCCCCCCGTTCAGCTGCCCCAGATACTAATAGTCATACATTATTGAGGAGCGGATCCAGATGGGATAATGTGAACCCCCCCGCTTTGATACCGAATTTTTTTTTTCTGTGAATAAAATCTGCCTGTGCACAAACTTCGCACAGAGCCAGCCGGGTTTTGGGATATTCGTACCCTATTGTCTAATAAAGTGCTACTGATCGTTTGATTTCAACAGCGCCCCCGCTGAAAGTGCGGTTAATGAGTTTACGAAAAACACTTGCAGATCCTTAAGTCATTCACCACGGGTAATAATTTCAAAAATCCCATTAACGCTGACCAAATTGGTTGCCAAAAAAAAAAATTGTTTGATCCCAAAATAATTGCGTGGGTATATAAACTCGTGCCATTATTTTGGGAATCAAATATTTTAAAAACAAATTTGTTATGATAACCCATATCCGAAGGTTTTTAACCAATTCTATTGGGCAATATGTGTCTAACCAATTTTTTGTGTCAAAATAACCGACAGGCCTTTGGTTAGCTTCTAACCAACTTTTATTAGTGAAAAAAATCAACCAATTCATAGTTGGTTATAACAACACATTTTCTTGATCAAGCCCTACCAATTGGAATTGGTAACATCTAACCAAAAGTGGTGGGCCATGTCAACCAAAGATTTGATTTTCATACTACTTTTAACCAATTTTGATCGGTCGGTGAAAAAGCATAATGTCTTGGTAAATGTCAACCAATTTTTGGTTGATTAATCCGACCCATGATACGGTCCTGCAACCAAAGGACATTGGTTTGAACCCCATTCTCCCAGCTTTCTGGAAAAAATAATAATACATACACCATACCCTTGCGACAATCTTGTCAAAAGCGAAGCAACAAATGACGCGAATGGACCACGAAAAGCCGTTCTTTCTGTCAGAGGTTTTAGGCAGCCTATTAAGAGATTCTAGACCGGAGAAAGCTTCGAAACGAGACATCAATTCATGGCTCACTTTGAACTGCATATTTTATGTCGTGGTTAGAAACCAATTACTGATGAGATGCATACAGCAGCGTTCAAATTTTGATAACTCGTCGACTAACATATTGGCCTTAAATGGTCGCAGCCCTCACATGAAATACGTTTGTGGTAATTCCTCACGAACGTTAAGTCTTTCCCGAATCATGCCTTCACTCTCCAGTGGCCATCCTGCATCCCAAACAGTTGTGAAACCATAGAGTGTTACGCGCAAAACGCGGCTACTCTATAGTTCTACACATTGGTTGTGCATGTGATAGTCATGCCCTGATCACGTGATAGCTACGTAAAACATGGCTGAACCCATTTATCTTGGTTCAATTCGGCTTTAGTGTACCAGGCAAAATTAACCATTTTAATGGTTAATATTCTACAACTGCTTTAGAAAACTCATGAAAACGATTTGGTTATTTTTAACGAATTTGTTTTAGAGTTCTAGTGCAAAACCAATTAAACTAATCCTGGAAAATAATTACGGAAATAATCCCCATCTTTTTTTTTTAACGATGAAAGTAAAGAAAAAGCTAACGCTTACATTTGCCAAGGCCATTGCAGTATGATGAGCAAAAAAGCTATTACATCCCGGTAAAACTTGATACGAGACTTTTTTTCTTCGGAAACTGAAATCTCCTGGTCCATTCGATTGGGTACTCGTTGTAAAAACTTTTGACTCAACAATACTCATAAGGGAAAAATGTTCTGAGTTTTTTTCGAAACCTACCACAGTCTTGAATTCAGGTTCTCCTGCTCAGTGCTGTTCTAGAGGTTTTAGTATCACTTAACGTGAAAATGCATACACTACTCAATTATAAACTTTATATCGTAAAAATCTGCTTAGTTAATTAGCAATTAAATGATTAAGATGGGTGTCAGTTCGTGAAAACCAAAATTTACGTGTTTTCGGAGAGTGCGCGCATGCAATAGCGTTAGTGAGTGTCAGTTCGTGAAAACCAAAATTTGACGCGTTTTGGGAGAGTGCGCGCACACACTGCGCTTGCGTGCGCGCGCTCTCCGAAAACACGTCAATTTTGGTTTTCACGAACTGACACTCACTAACGCTATTGCATGCGCGCACTCTCCAAAAACACGTACATTTTGGTTTTCACGAACTGACACCCTGTGCAGGGTCACTTCGTGGTAACCAAAAATACCAGAATTGACCAATTTCTTGAAAATTCATTAGTAAAATTTGCTTATTTTAGATGATTTCAGCAATTTTTACCTCGTCATGTTAAACTTCATGATACAAACTGCTAATAATATGTGCAAAAAAAGAAAATTTGAATTTTAAAATTGTTTTGTTCACGTGTGGTGCAGAGGGTGTCAGTTCGTGGTGTCGGTGACGAATTGTTGGTGGGTTCATCCGACCCATGATACGGTCCTGTAACCAGTGGACATTGGTTGAACCCCCATTCCCCTAGCTTTCTGGGGAAAAAATGAATCAATAAATAAAATGTACTCCCGCGACAACCACATGCCTTTTAACTTGTCAAAAGCAAAACACCAAATGACGCGAATTGACCATGAAAAGCTATTCTTTCTATAGATTTCAGGCAGCCTAATAAGAGATTCTAGACCGGAGAAAGCTTCGAAACGAGACATCAATTCGTGGCTCACTTTGAACTGCATATGTTATGTTGTGGTTAGAAACCAATTACTGATGAGATGCATACAGCAGCATTCACATTTGGATAACTCGTCGACTAACATATTGGCCTTAAATGGTCGCAGCCCTCACATGAAATACGTTTGTGGTAATTCCTCACGAACGTTAAGTCTTTCCCGAATCATGCCTTCACTCTCCAGTGACCACCCTGCATCCCAAACAGTTGTGAAACCATAGAGTGTTACGCAGAGTTGTAATGACTCGAGTCAATGACTCGACTCAAGTCCGACTCGAGTCACATTTTTTGGCGACTCGACTCGACTCGAGTCCCGACGGGTAAATGACTCGACTCGACTCGAGTCACTGCGAGCAAATGACTCGACTCGACTCGAGTCCCTCATCAGAATGACTCGACTCGACTCGAGGAAGGCTAATAAGACTCGAGTCCCAAAAATAAAAGCAAAACTTATTTGCGAAAAATATTTGCAATGACTTACGCCGCGCCATTCGCTTCGCCAGTTTTTGTTCACGTCATGTTATGTTTGCGAATAATGTACGTTCATGTACAGCGGCCGTCTGTTTTCCTTCCTCCATAATGATACAACAAACATACACCGTGTCGCGGACTCCCACCTTGTGGTTCTATAGCATGTAATGCTAAACCCGGAACCAGACTTAAAACGCATTTCTCAATTCGTGGTTTCATCACTGGTTTCGGGCGATTTCTTATTAAGCTCTTGGTGGAACGCTGGCTAAATTTATGTCCCGATTTCACACAAAAAAATGGATATGGACGGGCCCACCTTTAAATAATCAGAAACAGTTTTGTATAATGCAAATAGGTTTTGACGTTGTCAGTGATCAGCGAACAACAAAATCTAGACCCGAAGCCAAACCAGTTATAAGACCGAAGTTTCACATCTTCTTATCTGTGATGCAATCATTGATCTCCATATACACAGACTGGATAGGACATCGCGCCGTGTTTGTGCACGAATGCGCGGCCGAACAATGGCGGCGCGTTTACTGTCAGACGGGTAAACGCGCATTGTGCTTTCACTTTGTTTACTTTGGAAAATGGATTGTCGAGTGAAATTTTTCTTACAGGAGGGAGTTCAAGCGCTCCTCCAAACGAAATCTTAAAAAAAAAACTAACTGAACGATGAAGAGTTACCCTCAATCCCTCTAGACAGCTTTTCCACACTTTCTTGATATACACTTTCTTATTATGCATTTTCGAAATTCAAGAACCCCCCATTTCCTTTTCCTTTTCCTGTTTTTTTTTTTTTTTTTTAAATCCCTCCTCCTCCCAAAAATGATTTTAAGTAAATTGCCAATTTATTTTTGGCACATTGGTCATTAGAGCACACTGAATTACTCCATCAATGAAATAATTATTGTCTTAATAAAAATAATATGCTGAAATGACATCATATTTTTTAACTGAACACTCACACGAGAAATTGTATGGAAATTCATTCAAATGATTGCTATATTTATTAAAAACCCGAACATAAACCAATTACATGTAGAATCTAAAAGGTAAGACAATACCTTAATTTTACAAAGTAATCAGTAAAAA